AGCCACTTTTCATTGCAACTGTGTCACAGATAAAGCATACATATGACCTAAAGTCTCTTTGCTTAGGTCATGTTCATGAATTATAATATGGTCAGAGAACCAAGTATTCGGATTCTTTATTTATTCACATTCAACAAAGTTTTATCAGGCCTGGCATGCTGCAGTTAATGGGGTCACAAAGAGTTGGACATGACCTAGCAACTGAACAATGACAGCAATGTAATAAGAAAAATAGATGCCACACATACCAATCTCCAGCCTCCTGAAGTATTCTGGTTAGGGGTACAGACAATAAATGGAGTTGCTATAAGAAATGAAAGAGGATGTTAGGTAGGCTTCAGGAGAAAAAAATAAAGGGAAGAAGGAAATAAATACATCTCAAGGGGATAGTAGAAATTTTAAATTAAGCTATTGCACAACATTACAAAGACTACACAGAATAAAAGAATTTGAGGAGAATCCTGATAGAGTGAGAAATATATCCATGGAGGTATTTTAAGAAGACTATTCCAGGAAGAAGGAAAAGAAACCACAAATAAAGTTCCTGAGAAGAGAATGTATCTGGGGGTTTAGAACACCAAAAAGGCCACTGTGCTGAGCAGAGGGAACCAGGGCAAGAGTAGCAGGGAGATACAATCAGAGAAGTAATGGGCAACTGGATCATATAGGGTCTCATAGGACTTATGGAACATTTAAGGATTTTCATTAAGGAGTCCAAGTGAAATGGTGGCCATGTGTCTACCACCGCTCTGGCCTTTAGGAAAATCTCCAGTTCACTGTGAGTTTGTCCCTTGGGTCAGAGATGACATTTGCTCTGCACCCTACCCCCATTTCCCTTCACGTCTACATTAGGCACTCCCTAGGAATGGTGCTTACAAGGTGCCTGGATGGTTGCACAGTGGGGCTTTTCACATGTTAATGTTGGCCCTGCTGGAGGGTGCTGATGGGGATAAACATCTATAGAAGTAGTGAGAGCTTCCTGGCTGTCTAGTTCTTAAGACTGAAGTTCCATCTCCTCCCATTTTTAGGACGCTGGGTACCCCCATCCATCTTCTCTAGCCCAAGCACCTCTTTGTCTCTCTTCCCTATCTTCCTGACCTATCTTATGTCATGTGTGGAAACAGCAAACAAAAATTGAGTCTGTGAACCCACATCATGTGCACATTTTCTCTTATTTCTAATGGTGACTGAGACATGGTCCCTTGATCTCAAGAAGTAAGCAGAGTCTTGTGGGGAGAATGCTTACAGTTGAGTCTGAAAAAAGATGCCATGAAGAAGAAGCACAAAATGATGCAGGAGAACCTGAAAAGGACACCAGACAGACTTGCTGGTGCTGCTGCTAAGTCACTTCAGTCATGTCCGACTCTGTACGACCCCATAGACGGCAGCCCACCAGGCCCCCCGTCCCTGGGATTCTCCAGGCAAGAACACTGGAGTGGGTTGTCATTTCCTTCTCCAATGCATGAAAGTGAAAAGGGAAAGTGAAGTCGCTCAGTGGTGTCTGACTCTTAGTGACCCCATGGACTGCAGCCTACCAGGCTCCTCTGTCCATGGGATTTTCCAGGCAAGAGTACTGGAGTGGGTTGCCATTGTCTTCTCCGAGACACACTTGAGACATCATGAAAACATCTCTGAAGGAAAGCCACTTCTACTTGGTCAGAGGGAAGAGAGTGAGGGTGCAGTAAGTGGAGGAGCCTGTGCAAAGGCTTGAAAGTGAGATGGAGCAATCAAGGCTAAGGAAATGCAAGTTGTTTGTTGTGCCTGGAGCACTAGGTGGAGGGGAAGCAATGACTTTGAGCAGTAAATAGAGCCAGGCCATACAGCTTTTATGATCTTTTTTTTTCTATCTGGCAGGAAGAGAGCTTTAATGAAACAAGTCCTTATTCTCAAAGACCTTACCTTTTAATGGGGAAGCTAGAAAAGAAACAGATATGTAATGCGTTACAGCGGGTGTGAAAGTGCTAGAAGTTAAAACAAGGTAGGTAAGGAAAAAAGTGAATGTAGGCAGGAATTGAGGAAGAGGTGGTGTTGTCATTATTATTTTTTGTAGTATAAAGGGCCCTGTAATAAGGGGGTGCATGAGCAGAGACTGCATGGTGACAGGGAGTAAATCACGCATCGGGAGGAAGAACATCCCAAGTAAGGAGATCTGCAAGTGCAAAGTCTGAGGATGAAGCATGCTCCGTGTGTTTAAGGGAATGTTTGGAGGTTAGTGTGAGTGTAGTAGAGTAAGGAGGAGAGTAGTAGGAGATGAAGTTGAGCGATGGAGACGAGTCAGAGCACATAAATCTTTGTAAGGTATTATAATGACTATAAATGATTCTTGGGTAAGACAGGAGACCTCCGGAACATGTTGCACAGAGGATGTGACATGATTTGTCTTGTGTATTAAGGTAATCCTTTTAACTACCTTGGGGGAAATAGACTGTACTATAAAGCAAAATCAGATTCAAAATGACGATGGCTTGGAACATGGTGGTAGCAATAGAAGTAGTAGAAAGTAGGTGTACTCCAGATATCAACATCCGGAATACCTGGAATAAAGAGTCATCAGCATTTGCTAAAGATTGGTTGTAGAATGGGGGAGACGGACATGTGCCAGAAATAACTCCAAGTCTTCTCTCAGCTTCTTGAAAGGCAGAGTTTCTGGGTTATAGAAAACTATGATTGAAAATGTTTTTTCCTTGATGTGAATACCAGGATATGGTTTTGGATATGATGAGTCTAAGATGAATTTTAGATATCCAAATGAAGATACTGATGCACAGGCAATTAGATATGAGTTTGGACTATATTATAAATACTTATTTGGGATTTACAAGCTTATATATGGTATGTAAAGACATGATGTTAAATTAGATGACCAGAAATGAGAATATAACAAAGAATAAGACAGGTCTCAGAACAAAGTTCTGGGACATTTCAACATACGATGATAACGAAGATGAAGATGAACAGTAATGGACTCTGAAAATACTATTGTCAAACATGCTGAGGATTTTGACATCATCCTAACTATAAAGTAGCTGGTACTGTGAATAAATTCCCTGTAGCTATGAATGACTACTTCTACTTCCTTGTTGGACCTGATACCAGCTATAGGGCCCACCATTACTGAGTGATACCAATGTATCATTGAAACATGCGCTTTAAATTTTTGAGAATTATTGGATATACCCAGGTTGGAAAAAATAATTAACTTGCTAGATTGAGCCATACATGAAATAAATGCTACAAATTAAAACAATTCTAATAACACAACTTGTAATTCCTTTGCAATTCTAGTCACTTTTCAGTTTCTGCTGGGGCAGAAAGTTGAGGGAGGTCAGAAATAAATCCTGGAATATGCTTAGCTGGGAAAGAACATCAGGTAGAAATACATTTGTGAGGTTTGAGGATTTTTTTTTAGGTTTTTATTTGATTAATTAGTTGAAAATTTCTAGAGAATACAGTTTTACATTTTTGTTTGTTTGGCTAAATTGTGTCCCCCCAGTACAAGTTAGTCAATTTATGTATGCTGCTGCTCAGATGGTCAATCGTGTCCCATTCTTTGCAATCCCATGGACTGTAGCCTGCCAGGTTCCTCTGTCATGGAATTCTCCTGGCAAGAATACTGGAGTGGGCTGCCATTTCCTCCTCTAGTGGATCCAATTCATGTATAATTATACATTATATTGTATATACATGTTTATATTACATATAAATATATCATAGATATATAAATACATATATGGTTTATACTACATACACCATTAAAGTTAAGAGTAGGAGGACCCTGAAGAAAGTCAGTTTGCAGGTGGAAAGGAAATATGGCTTCGTTACTTACTAGCTGTTTAAGCATGTTACTTAACATTTTTGTGCTTCAGTTTTTCTCATTAATAATAAAAGTGACTATCTTATCATTTTGTTTTGAATATAAAAATGTGTTAATATGTGTAAAAAACAGAACAATGACTGGTCAAGGGAAACAATAAATATTAGTTAAAATTATTATTACAGTTAGAAAATACTACCTATTTCTCAAAAAGGAGTGACTTTTTCATACTGTGTCATCTTACCTGCTGAGAAGTGGATGAAGTAAAAAGAGACAGACTACTGGCAGGATAAACAACAGTTTAGAATAAGCAGTCATTGGAGGAGAAATTCTAGACAGTAAAGCTGCTCATTCCTCCTATTCTAATGTCTCGTCTCCTCATTTGTAAAATAAATGGGTCAGTCAAGCTGATTTTCTAAATATATTTCATCTTTGATTTTAAATATTTGCACATTTGGAATCAACGATCACCAGATTCACTTTTTTATTGATAAAACAACCTAACATAGACTGTTTCTATGATTCTATGTGTCTTTGGAATGGATAATTTTTATCACAGCTCTGCGTATTTGTTTTGTCTTCACACTGTAGATGATGGGGTTCATGACAGGGGGGATTAGCAGGTAGGTGTTAGCAATCATAGTATGTACATAAGGTGGGGCCCATTTCCCAAATCTGTGAACAAAGGACAGACTGATCAATGGGACATAGAAAATGGCAACAGCCCCAATATGAGAGATACATGTGCTGAAGGCTTTCTTCCTCTCTTCTGGGGATGCAATGCTGAGGATAGTTTTAATGATCAAAACATAAGAAAAGGGGATGAGCATTGAGTCCACACCAACTGTAGAGATCATGGCAGTCAGCCCCACCACATTGTTGATCCTGGTGTCTGTGCATGAGAGCTTCATCACATCAGGGTGGAAACAGTAGGAGTGGTGGAGCACGTGGCTGTGGCAGTAGGACAGTCTCGTAAGAAGGGCTACCATTGGCGTGAGTGTTAGTGTCCCCCTGATGACAATGTCCACTCCAATTTGAGTTATTCTGGAGTCTGTTAAAATGATGGCGTACCTGAGGGGGTCAGAGATGGCCACAAAATGGTCAAAAGCCATGGCCACCAACACTGATGATTCCATGACAGTGAAGAGTTTAATAAAGAACATCTGTGACAAGCAGGCATTAAAACTGATCTCCCTGGCATTGAACCAGAATATACCCAGCATGGTGACCAGAGTGGATACAGACAGGCCAAGGTCAGTGGCAGAAAGCATGGACAGGAAATAATACATGGGCTCGTGGAGGCTGGGCTGAGTGATGATGGCAAAGAGAACCAGGCTGTTTCCTGAAACAGCAGTTGCATACAGAAAGCAGAAGGGAATGGAGATCCAGGTGTGGAAGGCTTCCAGCCCGGGAACACCAGTCAGCAGGAAAATGACGGAAGAGGATGTGGTATTTTGCAAGTTTGACATGATGAATTAAAAAGTACAGAATTCCAAGATGAAATTCTGGAATAACCAAAAAACCTACATTTAAACAGGCAATCCAATTACAAATAATTTTATTCAACTAAAAGCTAACCAGAGATGAAGATCTATATCCCATGTAAATATGAATGGCTGATATAAATTGATAAAATAATTGCAAAATTTCAACTGCTTTAAAAATACTTTTATTGTTGTTGTATTTGTTCCTGCTCATGATTTTTCTTCCCTGGAGCATTTTTCTGGTAGCAAGGTTTATATTATGTGATCTTTTCCTCTAGCCAGAGATGGCAGAACTAAGAAAAGACACTTGACCCAAGACTGGCTGATCATATTCCATTCTCTTTGGAATATATTCTGTATAGTTGGCATCAGAGACAAATGATTGAGGCTTTGGAGGAGCAGTATTACATTGGTCAAGAGAAGAGAAAGCAGTGAAGCTTACAGATAACTTGGGAAGCCAGAAAATATTGAGAAAGAGATACTTATAATGCAAAATAACATGTATTAAGTGATAATAAATGACTTAGACATCAGTGCAGTCGTGTGCAGGTGACTATAGTATCTAACCTTTCAAATGACCTTTGTCATTTGACCCTTGTCCAGACCCTTATAGCATCTGGAATTGCATTAGAGAGATGCAGAGCTAGAACACAGACTTATTACTTACAGAGGCCTCTGGCTCCCACTTGATATAACATGCTGTCAGTTTTAAATATATTTCTTCAATTTATTTAAAGACTAGGTTTTCTCCACTAGCAAAGAACAGATTTTTCTCCATTTTGTTAAGACATGCTTCTAAGGAAACACCTAATAGAATCTTACAGCTTTGCTTTGGAGGGAAACATAAAACTTTATTTTTCATTGAGTAAGCAATTGCAGCCTGGGTAAATAGGTCTGTATGAATTGGAAGAAGGGGTATGGGGAAAACAGAGATTAGTATTTCAAAGCTTTTAGAATGGCATATGTGAAAGAGGGTTGAGCCAGAATGAACTGGTAACCAATGTTAAGATCACTGTTCCTTAAGGGAAACTAAGAGTTTCCAGATCACAGTTTCACCCAAAGTGCAAGGTAAAGAATTCCCTATATAAATCTCTTAGTTTTAACAGGAACATTTTAATTTGATTAATGGAGAATTCAAGGAAAAAAGTGTTAAGTTACATGAGTTGGTCAAATCAGTTAACTATGACTTCATAGTCTCCAGCTTAGAAAAATGAGGCTGTCCTTAGAGAACCAATCAAATTAGTGTCAGAATATATTAGAAAATCTCATAAGGGAAATGAGAATTAACAAAAAGGTAATATTTATTTAAAAAGGAAATTTTTTTCTGGATACTACTCCCATGGCACTGCCATGGATTTGATCATTTTATAGAAATGAAGTATCAGGATTACTTAGTGGTCCAAGGGTTAAACAAAACAAAACAAAACAAAAAACTGCCTGCCAATGCAGGGAACACAGATTTGATTCCTGGTCTGAGAAGATCCCACATGTCTTGGGGCAAATAAGGCTATGTGCCTCAACTACTGAAGCCTGGGTACTCAGAGCCAGTGCTCTGCAATAAGAGAAACCACTACAATGAGAAATGCATGCCTCTGCTAGAGAGTAACCTCTGCTTGCTGCAGAGAAATCACATACAGCAAGAAAGACCCAGAGCAGCCAAAAATAAATAATAAACAATTTTAAAAAAGCTTTAAAAAATGAAGTATCAATAGATACTGTCTCATACAACTGGCATGCATTTCACAATTAACTGTGAAAGTTTGAAACATTAACACGTTCTATTAGCACTTTTTGAAATTAATTATAACTATAGTGATTTCTGAAAGTTTTTTTTTATAGCCTTTACATTTAATAAGTATGTATTGATCAGGAAGATAAACTAAAAATCTATCAAATTAATGATACTCATGATAATTTATAATAATGGGTTCACATCTCATTTTCCACAAGTCTTTGACCTATTTCTTATCATTTTTCATAGAACCTGGGACTCAGTTTTGAAGTTAACAACTTTCTGAGGTTACTCGGAAGTAGAGGAATCATGAAAAAGGAATCACTTCAATTCTGTGTACAAAAGGTTTGGGGTATTTGCAAAAGGCTTTCCAAGAAAAACAGTACTTGAAATAATTCCACATTTTGTGTATGTCAAGACAAAGTATTCCAAGCCAGAAACTGTCAAGCCAGAATGAGCTTGTAGTATTGCTTCTTTGCTCTTGCCTTACACTCTCAGAGACATTTCCTGAGTACCTCCTCTGGGCACAGTGCTGTGTTAGAAGCTAAGATATAGCACAAACAAATCACCTCTTACAGAGCTTATAATTAAGGGAGAGTGAATGCTGCTGCTTATAAATAATTTCAATATCCAGCATATCATGATGAATAATAAAAATTGTTATGAGAATACAAAAGACCTCCATATATGTTAACTAATTCTGCCTGTCACAATGATTTTCACAATGATTTGCAATGATTAAGTGTAACTTTTGTCATTGAGCTCTACACAATTTTATGAGATCAGTTAAAAAAATAAATTGCTATATGAACAATTTCATTTTTACTCTAAAGTCTTCATGATTCCCCTTATTTTATGATTCAATTTATTTGCTGTTTGTTTTCATTCTTGTCATTTTCTCCCCTTTTCCTTTCTTTCTGCATGATCAAAAGAATGGTTCAAGTTGAAGTGATCTGTGCTGAGCTTGGCAGAAAAGAACTTCCTTGAATACCTTCTTCTCCATTGGTCTAAACCAACACTCCCTGCACCCTCTCATCATCCATGCTGGGCTGACACAGGGGCTTCCTTATTCCTTTCAGAGCCAGCAACTCCCCCTAAGCTCTTGATCATCTACAATAAACATCTCATTTGTTCCAGCATCAAACTGGGTGCTCACCGGGTTATGTCAGCACTAATGGTACAAAGCAAGCAAAATAATGGAGGTTTGGTGCCTGAGAAAACCAAAGAGATGTCAGGACCTCATCACTGAGAGGCAGAAAACCTCATCTTTAATCAGAGCCCAGTGACATTTATGGAAAAAAAAAAAAAAAAAGGAAAATTACCTGTTTGAAAAACCTACTACACGCCAGGCACTGTGTACTAGGCATATGCATATCAGAGGAATCACAGACAAAGAAATGCCACTAGTTGTAGAACTCTTAAATTGAAGAAAGTAGGGAAAACCACTAGACTATTCAGGTATGATCTAAACCAAATCCCTTATGATTATACAGTGGAAGTGAAAAACAGATTCAAGGGATTAGATCTCATAGAGTGCTTGAAGAACTATGGACAGAGATTCATGACATTGTACAGGAGGCAGTGGTCAGGATCATCCCCAAGGAAAAGAAATGCAAAAAGGCAAAATGATTGTCTGAGGAGGCCTTACAAATAGCTGAGAAAAGAAGAGAAGTGAAAGGCAAAGGAGAAAAAGAAAGATATACCCATTTGAATGCAGAGTTCCAAAGAAGAGCAAGGAGAGATAAGAAAGTCTTCCTCAGTGATCAATGCAAAGAAATAGAGGGAAATAATAGAATGGGAAAGTCTTGAGATTTCTTCAAGAAAATTAGAGATACCAAGGGAACATTTCATGCAAAGATGGGCAGAATAAAGGATAGAAATGGTATGGACCTAACAGAAGCAGAAGATATTACAAAGAGGTAGCAAGAATACACGGAACTATACAAAAAAGATCTTCATGACCCAGATAATCATGATGGTGTGATCACTCACCTAGAGCCAGTCATCCTGGTATGCGAAGTTAAGTGGGCATTAGGGAGCATCACTATGAACAAAGGTAGTGGAGGTGATGGAATTCCAGTTGAGCTGTTTCAAATCCTAAAAGATGATGCTGTGAAAGTACTGGACTCAATATGCCAGCAAATTTGGAAAACTCAGCAGTGGCTGCAGGACTGGAGAAGTTCAGTTTTATTCCAATCCTAAAGACGGGCAATGCCAAAGAATGCTCAAACTACTGCACAATTGCACTCATCTCACACACTAGTAAAGTAATGCTCAAAATTCTCCAAGCCAGGCTTCAACAGTACATATATGAACCATGGACTTCCAGATGTTCAAGCTGGTTCTAGAAAAGGCAGAGGAACGAGAAATCAAATTGCCAACATCCGTTCGATCATTGAAAAAACAAGAGAGTTCCAGAAAAACATGTATTTCTGCTTTACTGACTACGCCACTGTCTTGACTGTGTGGATCACAACACACTGTGGATAATTCTGAAAAGGATGGGAATACCAGACCACGTGACCTGCCTCTTTAGAAATCTGTATGCAGGTCAGGAAGCAACAGACTGGTTCCAAATCGGGAAAGGAGGACATCAAGGATGTATATTGTCACCTTGCATATTTAACTTATATGCAGAGTACATCATGAGAAACACTGGGCTGGATGAAGCACAAACTGGAATCAAGATCACAGGGAGAAATATCAATAACCACAGATATGCAGAGGACACCACCCTTATGGCAGAAAGTGAAGAAGAACTAAAGAGTCTCTTGTTGACAGTGAAAGAGGAGAGTGAAAAAGTTGGTTTAAAGCTTAACATTCAGAAAACTAAGATCATGGCATCCGATCCCATTACTTCACAGCAAGTTGATGTGGAAGCAATGGAAATAGTGACAGACTTTATTTTGGGGTGCTCCAAAATCACTGCAGATGGTGACTGCAGCCATGAAATTAAAAGACACTTGCTCCTTGGAAGAAAAGTTATGAACAACTTAGACAGCATTTAAAAAGCAGAGACATTACTTTGCCAACAAAAGTTCATCTAGTCAAAGCTATGGTTTTTCTAGTAGTTACATGTGGATGTGAGAGTTGGACCATTAAGAAAGCTGAGTGCCAAAGAATTGATGCTTTTGAATTGTAGTGTTGGAGAAGATTCTTGAGAGTCCCTTGAACTGCAAGGAGATCAAACCAGTCAATCCTAAAGGAAATAAGTCCTGAATATTCATTGGAAGAACTAATGCTAAAGCTGAAG